AGTTGCTTACTGGGTACCTATGCTCGACTTGCTATAGCAGGAGTTTCTCTCCTTGATATCCACTTCTGAACTTGAAGTCAAATACTATATCAACAGGATGCTTTCTACCATACATCATGACCATCTATCCCTTCTTTAAACTTTTTCTATTTAAATCTGAGCAGAATTAGTGTTATAAATCAGACCAAAAAATGCAATCGATCAGTTGGTTACAAATTTTTTAAAAAATCGATTAAAAATCAATTATAGTTAACTAATTGATTAATCGATTAGTCAATTAATCAATTAGTCAATTAATCGATTAATTAACCAAATGACGAGTTGGTATATTAAAATGGCTTGTATAGACATTAATTACAAGATCAATGTATGATACTATATAAAGCAACAAGTCAATTAGTTAATTAATCGATTAACTAACTAGTCGATTAGTCAGTTAATCAATTAATTATTGACAATTGATTAGTTGTCTAATAAAATTATCAATCGATTAGTTGCCAATTCAATTAATTAATCGATTAATCGATTTTCGATTTGGAACACTACTCTTAATATACAATTGATTAGATATTATATATAAAATTTTAATTTTTTTAACACCCTCTTTTCCTAAAAAATTATCTGATAAATATCTGTATCCTAATAATATACCAGAAATTGAAGAATTAGAAAACTAAGCAAGAAATTCATTTGTCAATTTCTTGGAAGAAATAAGATAAGATTATAAAAAAAAAGATTTTCAACTTTGCATAGCATTTAATAAATTTTTAGAAAGATATAAGGCCACTAAATCATAGTCAATTATATAGCTAACTACCTTTCTACATAATATTAATTATAATTTAGTTCCTTTAGTGCATATTAGAGGTAATAAAAAGATCTCTGTACAAGTAAAATCTGTAAGCAAAGAAAAACTAAAAGCACAAATATCAAACAAAGATATTCAAAAATTACTGATGAGAATGATTAGCATAATATTCCTAAACACAAGACAAGAAAGACAGGTAAAAAAGGCTATAATCTGAGCAAAAATATTTAAGCCAATATATTAAACTAGATATAAAGTTTAAATTTATAATTTATCTTAATAAAGATTTACTTGAATATTCCATTTAAGATGAATTATGTTTTACATTTAATGAAGGTCTCAAATCAACAAATTGATATATACAATTTTAAGTCTTAAAATTAAAGATTAGTGTATTACTTTAATAATTTAATATATTAGTATTATTGTTCTGCCATTGTTCTAAGATTTGATTTAATTGAAATCTTTGATATTTTATTTATTCATTTTTTTTTTTAAAAACCAATATCACGGTTGCTTAACACTTTATTGTGTTTTTTGTATGTCTATATTGAGATATTTTTTGGTACATTAACGAGTATACAACTAGCCACATATACAACTTTTGATTGCCTATTTAAGTAGTACAGCCAAAGGTTCTATACTAGTTGCCATACCTGCAACCTATTAGGAGATTGCCTATTTAAACTCTCTGATTTTCTGTATCCACTTAGCAGTTAGCACCTAAGTTCCTGTATACCAAGTGCTATCTAACTTGACATGTGGTCTTCCTTTCTGTGCTAGGAACCCAGGCCGTACCCTTTATAAGAGGTATATCACCTAGTAGCAAGGCTCGGGGTGCCTCTCTGTCAACAACCTACCCACTCTATGGTCCTATTAACAGGGCTATGCCTTTG